TAGAAGGGACTTTTTGATGTTGGCATCTCTGTTTCTCTGGCTTTGGAGACAGCAGCCTCCGGGCAGGTATCTTGTCATGGATGTCGGGAATCAGCTAAGGACTGAGTATAAACGGAGGGCTCTGTGAAGACTGTCTATACTTCTCACCCTCAGGCCAGTCTTCTTACCTGGTTTGGAAGAAGGGAAAGCAATGTGAAGGTGTATGTTTCTACTTTAAACTCTAATATAGTAAGTAAAAAACATCACGAAATGTGGACCTAGAAAAGTTCAGGTCTTTGAGTGGTTGATTACATCTGCCTGGTAGTTACAGGATGGGCAGAAAGTAGGAGTGATTGTAAGCCTTTAAGAGGGGGTATGTTTTGGATTTTCTTATAATTTCTTTTAGGTCCCAGAAAAGACTGGAAGATTACCATAATGAATGGTAGACTCTAAGCTTCTTTCTTTCCTCATCAGTTTATACTTTACTCCAACCTTCAGCCCACCTGGGAGATAAGAGGACTCCTCCTAGGGCAAACAAGAAACCAAAAGAAAAGACTCATAACTACTGATAGTTAAGGGTTCTCCCTCCCCCTACAAATGGCAAAGTCACTTTCCATCTGAGCATTCTATACTCAGGACCCCGTGCAGACAACTGTTCAATCCTCAGCTTCTAATTAGCACTTTGTTGCCTCCTTCTTCAATATAAATCAACAGCTGAGGAGAACTAGAAATGCAAAGATTAGCTCTTATAAGAACAGAACAAATAACCAATGTTTAATAGCCTTGGAAAGCTAAAAGATGGTGAACCCATTAAATAAGTACAAGAGGTACATAAAAAAGTACAGTCAGAGGATAAAATAAAAACTCTTGAATATGAAAAATATCAAAAAGGTTTTAAAACAAGAAAACCTCCCAAGAAGTTGAATAACAACAACAAAATGAGAGGAGGAAATCACCAATGAAACAAAGTAAAACTTTCTCCTGCACTGAAGGATATGCAAGTATTCCCTCAGTATTCAGAACAACGTATAAAAACTGTCCCCACAAAGGTGCATAAGGTACATCTTCATGAAAATTTCCAACACTGATGAGAAAAAGAAGATAGGGATTATAAAGCAACAAAGCAAACAATAATGACTGACAACAACCAAACAAAACCAAAACCAAAAAAAAAAAAAAAAAAGAAGCGGAAGTGGAGAATTCCTTGAACATTCAAAATGAAATGATTTCTGACTTAGAGTTCTTCCCAAGGAAAATTGTTAATCATATACTGGTGAATATGCTCCACCAAAGTGAGGAAGTGAGGGAGTCATCATCAGGGATGAACAGATAAAATCCAAGAAAAGAGACAAATGAGTATTAGGCAGAAAGAAAACTAAAACTAGGCAAGTGAAAACAGGGAATTGCTAATGAAATAAAACAAATATGCAAAGAAATGTAATCAAAGATTCTTGCTCAGCTGAAAATAATATTTTTATGGTATTAATTATATAAACCCTGACTACTGACTTGAAAGATAATATTCTATATTGAGAGGTTATTAAAATAGGATATGTTATATTTGGGGGCGGGGGTGACAGACAAGGATTCCTGTTAAGCCCATTACTGTAATACAAGCACCTGGAGGAAAGGAGCTTTTGTTTTGTTTACTGTGAATTCCTAGCACCTAGAACAATGCCTGGCACATAGTAGGTTCTTCAATAAATTTATGTTGAATGAATGAAACTTTCTCCTATGGAATATTTCTTCTTAGGAAATCTGCTAAGAAAATAGTAAGTTAAAATAAATAAAAATACACTTCAAAAGCTATAGCATATGGAGCTTCTTTCTAAAATTTAAGACTACCATTTTCAAAACCTAAAAGTAATGATGTGAAATATTTAAGCTGCACATCAAAATATTTAAAAGGTGACTCAAAAGCTGAAGATATTCCTAGGAATCTATTCTCAGTAAATCCTCATGCTAGTTAGGTTGATTGGAGATGGCTTGAAACTCAAAATAGTTCCAGGGAAATCAAGATGCAATTTTCTCAATTTCAAAAGCAAATTATCTTATTGGCTTTTCTTCCCATTCATGCACTAATGTAATACAAGGATGGGCTGAGGAAAATCGCCTTGTTTTGCTTTTCAAGCTGGTGGACTCCTGAAGAGAAGACTTCAGTACTTCCTTTCACATCAGATCCCTAAAAGTGTTCATCAGGACACTAATTTCTTTTATTAAATAAAAAGAGGTGCACATTCAGAACAACTATGTACTCTTTTATTTGACAGATCTAAATTGGGTCTACAGCTCAATTCAACTTGGCTGTGAATTTACTGTCTGATTCTTAGGCTAATGGAACTGTTGATTAATTCATCATTTGTTTCTTTCTGCCTTCACTGAGCATTTGCTGAGCACCTACTGTGTGCCGTGCATTGTTCAAAGACACTAGTGGAGGAAGAAGACTAGATCCAATTACTCTGGATGCTCTGAGCTAAAATAGCTGATCCTATTAATGCACTCAAGAAGAGAACCAACTTGCAGAACCAGGTATACTTAACAGGGATGAGTCCTGGAGGCCTTTATAGAAACCACAGCCTACACCACCCCAGCAGTAGTCATGTGCATATTGTGGGTTACCTAGAACGTCTGTTGAGCACTGGGCTCAGCCCAAGATTGTGCCCTGCTTGGTGCCAGTATGGCTGTCTGTTCCAATACATGCATACATACATACATACATACATACATACATAAAAATCCTAGTGTCACAGACCTAGTCTTTGGAGATCCTGTTGGCTTTAAATTAAAAATTGGGGGCTTTGCAAGAGGCCAAATACAAATCAAGACTCCTCTTGTGCTCCCCACCTGCTTCCTGGATCCTGCAAGTCATTGATGATTCCCGCGCGGCGGGAGAGACAGGGGCTCAAGGATGTAGGGTGTTCCGGACCATCCCTGTGCCCTCACCCGGCCACACTGACCCTATGTGGAGCTTGGTGCTGCCGCGAGCTCTGCCAGAACTCAGAGAAGGTGGTTGTCCAGGAAAAGGTGGTGCCGGTGGGCAGAAATATCCACAGATATTTCCTTAGTATTTAGGTGGCTTTGGTAGGAAGGTTCCAAAGTAAAGTCTGCCTTAGTGACCCTTGTTCCATCTGAAAGCGAACCCAGCAATCAGGGTGCTGAGAATCCCTCCTTTTGTATAGACCCCCTTAGAGAGCCTCGGAGCCTCGTGTGGAATTACAAAGGTCTTGTAATTCCTGCCCCACTTTTAGTTCGCCACTGCTGGAGCCACGGAGCCAGGGTCTAGGTCCTGCACTGCCTTCCCAGGGGACAAGGCAACAATGACGTGACCCGCCTGATTGCTCTCTGCGCACCCGGACGGCAGTCCCAACGGGACTTACCCGAGGTGAGGGTTGGAACTTTTCTGGGTGTCACCTGGAGTTTTGATTGCTCCAGTACTAGAGATCAACCCATCAGAGACATATGACCAAGAGGACTGGAGGCACTTCCCAAAGCTCCTTTCTGACTCACTGAAACAGTGAGCACTAGCGAGAGAATCCAGTAAGCCCCTGGCTTCATTTCCTGCCCTACTCCCCTGGGTAGGGTTCCCTAAATCCTTGCGGGGCTACAGGGGCGCCGGCGGGCACATTTGGGGGCAACTGCGCAGCTACCAAACTGTGCAGGGCAATCCTGAAGAGTGGAGGAAACTCGTTATTGATTGATTGATTGATTGATTGATTTATATCCTCACCGTCTCTACCCCACCCCGCTGCAAGCTCCTCTGGCCAGAGATGGGATCTTCTGTCCCTCTGGGAGCGGGGGTCGGGGTGGGAGTGGACAGCATCCACTCAGAACCCGCTTTCCGTAAGAAAAAAGGGAGATGCTGAGATCCCGTGTGTGGATGTGTTTATCGGTGTGCATGTTTGGGGGACAATGTGTACCCCTCTGTGTGTAAAACGCACCTTCTTCGTAAAGCAGAAACACTCGGGGTTGCTTTCATGTCTGGGCGGGGGGGGGGGGAGGGGGTTAGTGTCCGCGCGCCCTTTTGCGGGTGGCTGATGGCAGACAGCATTTTCCCGGGAGGGCTCTGTCGGAGGCGGTGAGTGTGAATGCGAAATGCAGAGCATGTGTGGGGTTCAGGTAAGTGCCTGGGTGATGCGCACCTGCTGGTGCGCAAGGAACAGATGTCAAAGTCTATAGGAAGGCCGCCTCCGGCGGCTCTCTTCCTCTCCAAGTTTGGGCTCTGGAATCCATCCAGATAGCTCAGCTCCCAGGGCCTTCAGGGAAGTGCGGTGGGGATGAAGAGCAAGAGAGATGGGCACAGGCAGTCCCAGCCCTGCATTTTGGCAAACACAAGACAGAGGAGCAGGGCAGCTGTGCAGCAGTTAAGGGTCCGGGTTGGAGCTGAGGATGTCAAACCCACAGTCTAGGATTTGGAGGTACCTGATGGGTAAGGGGATGCAAAACCTTCTGTGCATGCAGGGCCAAGTTAGCGCTCTCCCCAATCCCCTCTTCTGTTCCTACCGTTTCAGTTTCAGAGGAGTGGGGCGGAGGAGGCTTGGCTGCCAGATTGAAAGCAAAACAGCCATTTTTGAGGACTCTGGCACTTGGGCACATATGTGGGAGGGAATACCCCAGGAGCACAGAGATTCAAAGAGAATGTTTCAAGGGCCCTCACTCCTCCTCCTTCACTACTCCTCCGATGCTATTTCTGCTGAAGTCCTTTTAGAACCCAAGATTAAGGTTCAACCTCCCTGGGGGTCCAGGCAGGAGTAGGACATGCTGGAGTTCATGCATCAAGGAAGTGGGAGAAACTCTGGACCCTCCAAATTCCCCCAGTGTGCCTCCAGTTTCTAGACGTATCCGCCTTCTCTTGGGCACTCCTTCTCCCAACAATGACCTCAATGCAAGCAAAGGCGGGAGCGGATGCCCCCCACCTCCAGAAACAGGGTAGAGAGGTGGATGTGTGACGCACTAGGAGGAGCTCGGTTAGTCCTGTGATTGGTTGTTCTTGGCCACTTAGGATTGGCGGAGCAGGCGGGGGACCCCCTCCTTCCGGATATCACTGGAATAAATGCCTTGGGGCTCTGGCGAGAAGGCACCCACAGCAGGTGTTGTGTTCTCGTGGATCCGTCGCTCTTCAGTGCTGAAACTCGAGTTACCAGGTGAGAAACTTCTCATTCTGCGTACTCTGATATTCTGCCTCTCTCCATTAATTCCTCTACTTTGCTCCATCTGCCTGCCTGCTTCTCTTTCGTCTCTCCGCCATTTCCGCTTATCCGCAGCCCGGTGGTACTACTCTCTTCTGACTGGGGTGAAGCCGTGCTGTTTAGGGCTGTCCAGGCATTTTCTCTTAACTAAAGCGGGTGGAACCCCCGGCACCCAGAGAGCTCCGCATGGGCTCTGGGAGCTGGGCAAGTTTAGGTAGGGGTGTGTGTGACTTCTGCGTTTGGAGCGCGTCGGCGGGCAGGGTTCTGTAGGAGTTGTTTCAAGTCTGTGTCCTTAGTGATCACGTTTGGTACCCGGGAAAGTGGAGCCCTAAAATTTTTCCTTTGAGGCGTCTCCAGCCCACGAGCGTTCCAGGGACGTGACACCAGATCTGGGGCAGTGCTTTCAGTTGAGTGGGCTCAACTCAAGGGGTGGGCACCTAGCGCCTGCTGCAGAACTGCACTTCTGCAGTCCGGAGGCACCTGTAACTGACGCGCCAAAAAAAAAAAAAAAAAAAAAAAAAAAGCCCCCAATCCAAATCCTCAGACCGAGTGTCCCTTTCCGATTCACCCTTCCAGCCTCTTCCCCCCACGCTTTGGCTGGACCGCCAGCGGAGAAGGTGGTCTTAAAACTTCAGTGAGAAGACAAGCACAACGAGGGCAAGTGTACAGCAGGGTGTGTCCGCTCATGGTTTCTTAACGTATCAGGGCAAAATGTGTGCATATGGGCTTCTCTGTCCTACCAGGAAACAGAACCCAACGCCTCCCCACCCGGCCCCTCCACTTGCCTCTTCTCTATCAAACCACTTGACTACCACTTTTGAGATTCACAGCAGCCTTCTGGCAAATAAAGGAACAGAGGCACCAGGAGGTGAAGTTACCTGCCTGAGGTCACATGGCAGTTGTGGCAAGAACAGGACTGGAAGCTAGGTTTGTGGTCCTGGTGCAGTCATAACGTCATTCTCCTTTTACAGAGAGGCATCATGGTCTTTTGGAAATTCTCACCCTTCCTGGCTGTCAGCATCTTGGTCCTATGCCAGGCAGTCAGCCTCCCAGCAGCACCATTCAGGTGAGACATCCTGAAACCCAGAGCACACTCCTCTCTCACTGCCCCAGGGATCAGACAGCTCTATGCCTTAAGAGTCAGTGTGGTTCCCCATGAATCAGCGTCCTCATTCCCACTTCACTGGGAGAAAGGGTAGCTATATCCTTAGGGGAAGAAGCAGGTACCAGGAGCCTGGCTGCCTGGGAGGGGGGCAGGCAGGGGCTCAAAGGTTGCACTGGGTTTGTTTCCCCTTCGCAGGTCTGCCTTGGAGAGCATTCCAGACCTGACCGCACTGGGCGAGGAGGAAGCACGCCTCCTGCTGGCTGCACTGGTGAAGGACTATGTGCAAATGAAGGCCAGTGACCTGGAACAGGAGACAGGGGGCTCCAGGTAAGACTCCCCACCTGGCCCTGACATACAGAGGAGGACCTACTCCAGAGAGGTATGAAAAACTCACCTGCCCAGGAGTCCAGCGGGCTGTTCTTATTCAGCTGGCTGTGGGACTCAGCTACTCTCAGGCTCCATGGAAAACAGAGATCCTGGTGGAACTGGAGGGACTGTGGTTTGATGCATTAAAAAGATCAATTTCTGAAAGTAATGGGGAATGGGATGAAGAGTGTGGAATCACTGACTATGGAAGTTGGTCTTTCAGAACTGGGAGACATCCCAGAACTGGATATTAGGAATAGTAAGTGTGAAGCCAGAGGATGGAATCTGTATCCCTGGTTTTAGAAACGTCACCTGGGTATGTTATTCTTTCTTCCTGCAAGGAGTCTTCATTTCTCACTTGCAAAGTGAAGGTGAAGGGCTTTGGGGGGATGGGGACAGATAGCTCCATGTCTAAGGTAGGTTGGGGACATCTAGAAAGATGTGAATGTTGTCACAAAACCAGGGAGAGCACCCTTCCCTAGATCTACCTGCTTGTGTACCCTGATCTTGGAAAAGAGACCAACCCTGGCCTGACCCCAGCACTGCCATAGCAGAGGCATGTGTTGACCTGAATCCACCCAGAGAATGCTCTGCCAAGCAAGCTTGAAGGTCTGCACAGCATGTGGAATGCCAGAAAAGGTCACCCTTCCTTACCACTGCCCTGGCCCACTGCACCTCTGAGTCCTCCTAATGGAGGATGTGTGAGCTTCCCCCACCCCCATCCACATCTCCTGTCCCCCTCATAGTTTCCCTGTCTGGTCTAACCTTCTGCTGACTGTCCACAGGGGCTGGTCCTGGTGCCTGGTTCTGTCTGGCATGTCTTTTTCCTATGGCTTGGAGCTAAGCAATGCGGTAATCTGAATATCTGCACACTGGGCACATACTGGCAGGATATGAACAACTTTCATACCTTCTGTGGCATCAATTTTGGGCTTTAAACACCTGGCAAGAAAAGGGATTTGGCCAAAAAACTTGCAGAGGGACAGCTACCTTCACTTTGGGAGTACCCAGGATGCCAACTGAGCTCCTCCCACTCCTTCCTGATTTCCTTTCTTGTTCCCTTTTATGAACTTGATGCATGTGGATTCCTCTCTGAATGTTCTTCAAGCTGATATTAGTAGCTTTGCTTATGACACAGTATGTTGGGGACCTCAGGATGGAAAGGGAGAGAACAGAAGTCATAGATCAGAGGTAAGAGACAGCAGGTAAAGCTTAAGCCCTCAGAGAATTTTGTAGCATAGCTTTCCAGTTCTTGCTTATGCATGTACTAAAATAAGCACATGCCTCATGCTCCACCATTTGACAAATGAATTTATTTTTCTAAAAGAACCTGAGCTTTAGTGGTCTTTGCTCTGGGCCATGGTCAAGGCTTATGATGTCCAGTGCCTTGGCTTAGATGGAGCCTTAGCTTTAGAGCAGCTGGATATAGGGCTTGGTGGGTGATCTCTGTGATCCAGCTGTAGCAGAAGAACAGTGTGCTAAGGAGCAGGTAAGAATTTCTGGGACAGGATGCTGCAAACCAGGTCCTCTGAGCTTATTTAAGGTAAGACTTTAGGGAAATTTCATTTTCCTATGGAAAGTGGTTTTGTTGCTGCTGTGGCTGGGGTATGGTCTCTATATATGCCTTGAGTGTTTTGGAGTGGGGCTGAGCCTTGCCATTTATGCCTCTTGAATGATAAATGCAGGGTTTCAGTATGTACCCCATAGCTGGGAACTCTTTTTGGTGATTTTTTTGGGCAGAGCTCCTACCAAAGGCTGCCAGGCCATTTCCCCTAACAGCTTTGATAATTGCACTTAGGAGAAATGCTTATTGTTAAGTGGTATATCTAAGGGCTGCAGTTCTCTTTGTGAAGGTCCCACGGGGTGGGCTCCTCCCCCAGCCCTCACTCACAGGCCTTCTCTTCTCTCTCCATCCTGCAAACCAGTGCCACTGCCCAGAAGAGAGCCTGCAACACTGCCACCTGCGCGAGCCAGAGGCTGGCAGGCTTGCTGAGCAGGTCAGGGGGTGTGGTAAAGGACAACTTCGTGCCCACCAATGTGGGTGCCCAAGCCTTTGGCCGGCGCCGTAGAGACCTTCAGGCCTGAGCAGCTAGAGAGCCCAGGAAGAAGGTGAGTGCCCTGGGCTTTGGGAGAAGAGAAGGAGGAGTTTGGAAGTTGGGGTTCGCATTTTGAAACCTGCTCATCCTGCTAGGTTCTTCAGGTCCTTTCTCTCCAGTTCTATCCTTCCTTCTGACATAGTAAATTCCTTCTAGAACTGAGCATGAATTCAGAATGCTGAGACAGGCTTCCGAGATGCAATGTTATTTTTCTGAGAAAAGAAATGAAGAAAATTCTGGATTCAGAAAGGGGGGGGGGCTTTCAAACCTTAACCAGGACCAGTCCTCACCAAGGAGCGCGGGTTCAAACAGGGCTCATCCCTTGGTCAGTGTTCACAGATTCAGACCAGGGAGCTCTAGTCACACTGCCATCAGTATTAATAGTGATTATTGAATTATTTTTATCTTCATTTCTCTTACAAGCATGCAAATATCTCATAACCATAATTCATAAATGTTGTTGACCTCTGTAAATTAATGGGTTTCTTTTTCAGTGATCATTGTAGTTATTCACTTCTTGTCTTTCTCCTCTTTTCCTTATCTTTCTCCTCCTATTCACTCCCTCTCCTTTTCCTCCTTCTTTTTCCTTCTCCTCTTCTTTCTCTTGTGTTTTTCTATTTTTTTTTCTTCTCTCATCTCAGGTAACCATGAAGCTGAACTCACCACTTCTATTAATTTCTGTTGACAACAACTGGGTGGGAAGGCCCCATGGAAGATACACACGTTTGCATCTAGAAGCACCATTTGTCATTTGAAAGGAATGAAACTGAATGCAAAATAAGCTAATTCCATATTTGTTGTGCATCATTTTTATATTTAATGCTATGTTCAGTAAATGTGATGGCATTTCCCATTGGCTTATCTAATAGCAAATTGGTTCTTTGAGGACCATCCTGTTGATCATGGTAGCTCTGCCAAACTGTAGGGGACACGAAATCACTGCCTCTTGTAGCCTCTGGGAACACAGATGGTAAGGTGATGTTGTGCCTTGTTGTCTAAGAACACGATTGTGCAGTTTGTTTAAGGAAATGTCAAAATTGTGTCATTTGTGAACTTCATCAAGATTAAAAACATATTTTCGATACATTTGTTTCAAGACCCTGGTGGTTCATTTCAATTATTTTTCCTATGTAATAATAGTAAGGGAAATAATACTATTTTTGAGAGCTTTCTATGGACCAGATGATGTTCTAAGACAGTGCTTTATACCTGTGAATTCACTTACTCTTCACAACAGAGCCATAGGGTAGATACTGTCACTCCATTTCACTTCTGAGGAAATCCAGGAATGGAGAAGTGAAATCCAAGATCACGCTGATACACAGTGGCAGACCCCAGTGTTGGTTTCTAGAGCTGACAGCTGAAAACACCATGATATATGCTTTTCAGTATTGGTTCTAATGTTTCCCAGAGACCTGTGAGTCATTCTTTGGCCTATATGCCTGACATGGTAGACCTTCAGATTTTAGAGACACCTGCTGTTATGATTTGGATCTTAATGTCCTCCAAAAGATCAAACACTGATGGCTTGGTCCTTAATGCTGTAGTGTTCAGAGATAGGGCCTTTTAGAGGTGATCAGGTCATAAAAGCTCGGACCTCCTCAATAGTTTAAACCATTGATGGATTTATACAATAGTGTGTGTGTGTGTGTGTGTGTGTCTTTGTCATAAAAACATGCTCTCTCCTTGCTTCCTGGCTGTCACTGGGTGCACTCCCCACCAGGATGTTTTGCCTCATCCCAGACCCAGAATCGATAGAGCCAAGTGATAATGGATTGAAACCAAGAGACAAAATAAATCTTTTCTCCTTTTAAGCCATTTATCTCATGTATTTTGTCACAGCAATGGAAAGCTGACTGAATCATATGGAAAATTTTAAACATAACAACAACTTAATTTATATAAAGATGAATTTTGGTATCCACTATTTGACTGCAAGAATGATTAGTGATCAATGTTCTTACATTTCTCCTACCCCCTAGTATGTTGCCATATCAATACATCCATACATATTTCATCCTGTATTTCTAAATGGGAAGGACTCTTTAAAAATATCCAAAATCCCATTTAAATCCTATTTGCAACTAAGATTAACAATAATTTCTTAATTATTTAATGTCACATATCCCCTCATGGCTCCAATTCCCCAACTATTATATACACCCACATATGTGTGCACGTGTGTGTGTGTGTGTGTGTGTGTGTATAAATCTGGTCTTATATTGAGACTTAAATTTGTCTAAAGGCTCATCTAATCTAGAAATCCCCCCCTCTATATTTTATCCTCCTTGCAGTTGATTTGTTGGAGAGACTAGGTTAAACATCTAGTGGTTTCTCAACATTCTGAATTTTGATGACAGCATTCCTGAGGTGAGGTTTAACATGGGTTTTTCTGTGAATTTAGCAGTCAGGTCTATGGTGAATGAAGGAGAAGAGAACAGGAGATGAGGTCTGAGAGGAAATGGAGAGGACAAATCTTGTAGAATTTTGTAAGGCACAGGAAAGACTTTGGCTTTTATATCTAGCATATATTAGGGTCTTTTAAAAAATTCAGTTGAGCTTTAATGTCTTTTAGTTGGCGTGTTGGACCATTTACGTTTAATGTAATTACTGATTTATTTGGATTTAAGTTTACCCTTTTGTTATCTGTTTTGTTTGTGCCCACTACTTTTTTTGTTCTTCTCTCTTTCCTGCTTCTTTTTGTTTGACTATGTAAATTTTCAAATCAAAATTTAGAGAGTATTCCACTAAGTTATCTGATGGCCTTGGGCTTTATCACTTTATTCTTATTCTTTAATGGTTTCTCAAGGAATTGCAACCTAACTTTTCATAGTCTACTTAGAGCTAACATTTAAATAAAGCATAGAAGCCTTATAGTCTAGAGGACTGTTTATCCTTCTCTGTTCAGTGGTATATGTTTCATGTGTATTACATCTAGAAACATTGACAGCCCCAATAGACAAAGTTGCAAATTTTCTTTTCAGTAGTCATCATATTTTAAAGGAAATTAGTGTACTATATTCACTAAGATAATTGCCATTTTGGTTCCTGTTCTTCCTAGCAACAAGATCTTTTAGTTGTTCTTCATTTAATAAATCTTTTATTTTTGCCTTTATTCTTTTGAAATTGACATATACTTTCCACATAATAAAAATCCACTCTTTTAAAGTATACAACTTAGTTATTTTTAGCATATTTTCATGGTTGTGCAGCTTTTCACAGCTAACTTTAAACATTTTTATAACCTCCAAAAGCAACTTCAGATTAATTAGCACTCACTATTTCTCCCTCCACAATCCTCTGGCCACTACTACTCTACAATCTAACTCTTCAGATTTGTCTGTTTTGAATATTTCATATAAATGGAATCATGTAGATTTCTGTGTCTGACTTCTTTTACTTAGCACAACATTTTTCAAGGCTCATTTATGTTGAAACATGGATCAGGACTACATTCTTTTTGTGGCTGAATAATATTCCATTTATAGACATACCACATTTTGCTCATCCATTCACCAATTGATGGAACAGTTTTCTTCTATTTTTTGGCTATTATGAATAATGATTTTATGAAATTTATGTGCAAGTTTTTGGGTGGACATGTGTTTTCAATTTTATGTATCTAGGAGTGAAATCACTGGGTAAAGTGATAACTCTTTGTTAACTCTTCTGAGGAACTCCAGAATACTTTACAAAGTGACAACAACCTTTTGCATTTCTACCAGAGGGTATGAGATTCTAATTTCTCTACATTTATCAACACATGCTTGTCTTTTTGATTATAGCCACTCTAAGGGTTATAACATGATGTTTCACTGGGTTTGATTTACATTTACCTAATATCTAATGATGCTGAATGTCCTTTTTTGTGTGCATATTTGGTACTTGTACATTTTTGTAAGAAATGTGTATTCAAATCCTTATCCCTTTTTATTGTTTTTATTATAGATTTGTAAGTTCTTTATATATTTTGGATGCTAGATCCATTCACTTTTTTTGTAGTGCCCTTTGAAGCACAAAGTTTTAAATTTTGATGAAGTCCAATTTGTATTTTTGAGGGAAGTATCTTTGCGTATATTACTTAATCCAAAGTCATAAGAATTTACCAACAATTACTTTTAAGAATTGTATAGTTTTACCTTTTAAATTTAGGTTTCTGATCTTTTTCCAGTTAACTTTTGTCTACAGTGTGAGGCAGAGGTGAAAATTCATTCTTTTTGCAAGTGGATATTCATTTGTTCCAGCATAATTTATTGAAAAGGTGATTCATTGCTGCATTGAATTGCCCTAGAAACTTTGTTGGGAATCAATAAAGCATAAATGTTTAAACTTATTTTTGGACTCTCCATTTTATTCCATTGAGGTTTATGTCTGTCCTTTACCAATACTGCCCATTTTAAAATCACTGGAATGTTGTAGTAAGATTTAAAATTGGGAAGCATGAGTCCTCCAACTTTCTTCAAGATTGCCTTGGCTACTCTGAGTCCCATCTGTTTCCATTATAATTTTAAGATCAGCTTATCTATTTCTGTAAAAAAGACAGCCAGAATGTTGAACCTCTAGATCAGTTTAGGGAGTATTATCGTCTTAACAATATTACATCCTTCAATTTGTGAGCACAGGATGTCTTTTTTATTTAATTACTACCATGGTGTGGATGTGGTTTGTCTCCCAAGGGTTCATATATTAGAGGCTTGCTTCCCAGGGTGGTGTATTTGTGGAACCTTTGAGAGGTGAGGGCTAATGTGAGGTCCGTGGGTCATTGATTTCCCTCTCCTTAGAGGAGACAAAGGTATATTCTCATGGCGTCCTGAATTATTCTTACAAGAGCAAATTATTATAAAAGCATGAGCTGGACCCCCAAGTTGCTCTCTGGCTTCCTACATAGAAATGTGATTGTTTGCTCCTATATGTGCTCCTGTCATTGCTGTTTACCATGATGTGAATTAGCTGTTGGAATCCTCACTAGAACTGAGCATGTTCTATGCCCTTGAACCTCCCAAACTATGAACTAAATAAACCTTTTTACTTTATAAGTTTATCTGCCTGAGGTATTTCATGATAGTAATGGAAAGATGTCTAACATAATTAGGTTTTCTTTGATTTCTTTCAATGGTGTTTTATACTTTTCAGTATAGAAATATTGCACTTATTTTATTGTTTATTCCTACGTATTTTATTATTTCACCCTTATACATGGAATTGTTTTCTTAATTTTATTTTCTGATTGTTCATTGTTTTATGTCTAGAAATATAACTGTTTTTGTATCTTGATATCATTTCTTGCAACCTTTTCAAACTTGTTCATTTGCTCTATTAGTTTTTGTATATGTGTGTTTGTATTCCTTAGGATTTTCTATTATAAGATTATGGTATATGCAAATAGAGATGATCTTACTTATTCCTCTCTGATTTGAATGCTTTTGACTTATTTATTTTTCTTTACTCATGTTCCCTGATTAGAATATATAATTACAATGTTGAATAGAAATGGTGAAAGTAAACATCCTCATCCTGTTCTTGAAAAGAGAACCTTTAGTCTATTATCATTAAATAGGATGTTTGCTGTATGTTTTCACAGATGCCATTTATAAGCCTAGAAAATTCCCTTCTATTCTTAGATGGTTTAGTGTTTTTGTCATGAAAAAAGTTGGATTTTATATTTTTTTCTGCATCAATTGGATAATCCTATATTTTTGTCCTTTTTGCTTATTAATATGATCCATTACACTGGTTGATTTTCATATGTTGGAATAATCTTGCAATCCTGGGGTAAATCCCATTTGGTTATGATGTATTATCCTTTTTTTAAAAAAAATAATGTTACTGCATTCACTTTACTAGTATTTTGTTGTGAATTTTTGTGAACATTTATAAGTAATATTGGTGGGTAGATTTATTATTATTATTATTATTTTAGTGAGAGAGAGAGCGAGGGGGGGGATTGATGGATCTCGATACCTTTGTCAGATTTTTTGTTTCTAGGTATGCTAGTCTTTTTTTTTTTTTTTTTTATCCTGATGATTGAATTCAACACTCAACCACTGAGCCATATTCCAAGCCCCTTTTATATTTTATTTTGAG